GAAAAACTTTGCAATAATTGGGTTCACATGCAAACTTTGCATTTCCCTATATAGACAAAGTTTACAAACACAACTTCCGAATTAGGATCAACATCCCAATTTGGAATCAGAGAGGAACGTACTTAATAAAATATATACTAAGACATAGCCTTAAAAATGTTAAGCGGGAATATGTATATTGTTATGATCTATATAGTATAAATAATTCTTAATATCATCGAAAATTGAGAATTCTACTTGTATAACTAACTTCTAATGCATCTTTCAATTACGCTAATTAGTAGCATCATTGGGAATTACAAAGAATTTGTCATGATAGTAATAGTAATCATTGTTAATATACATAAACAAAAGATTTGCTGCAAATTTAGGAGCAGAGACGATTTCTTTGTTTATTAATTTTTGCACAAAGAACTTCAACATAACTTATCTGTAATTTTCAATGGATTAACAATATTAAAAATAAGTTTAATACCGTATTTGGGATTGTAGATGACATAAACTGATATAATAGACATATAACGATAACAAATCCTACAACATGGAGAGATCACAATCAAAATACATTGTACTATCATCGTTAATATTGGTTGAAGCAATAAAATATATTTATCGTTTATTGTTATTACTATAAATATTAATACATATGTGATATCGACTTGTATACTTGACTTTAACTTGTGAAGCACAGTTACAATTCCAAATTGGGATGTTGATCCTAATTCAGAAGTTGTGTTTGTAAACTTTGTCTATATAGGGAAATGCAAAGTTTGCATGTGAACCCAATTATTGCAAAGTTTTTCGTTGGTCAGAATACAGTTGTGTCACAATAACAGACGCATGACCTGCCATTTTTTTGTGGTGCTACTGGGGTAGTTAAACATCTCCACATTCTTTCCTCCGTACACCAGTGTTACTGCGCCTTTACAGAGCGAAAAGAATACCTAAAGCTGCTTTACTCACTAACAATGTCTAGCTTCAACAACCCTGACTCTAGTGCCCCAATGGATACTGACCTCAACACCCCTGGAAACAGTGGGGACCTCAAATTCCAGAGGGTTTTTAGTTTTCGAAACTTTCTCCTGGAACAATGTCCAAAGTAACCTGATGGGCCTACGGCCCCCATCTACCAGAATTCCTCCAGCTGCTGACAGGGACTCAGCATTCCTCGACCTACTAAAGATGCCAACTGACCTCGATGGCAGAAGCATTGCCAAGGCCCTCCCCAAAACAGCTGTCAGTACCAAATTCAGGGCCAACACAAACTTCATCCAAATCTTCTTCGAGAATGAAGATGAAGCTAACGACTTCATCAAAAAAGGTGTTCTCCAGACTGACACATACAACATTCCCATCTTGCCACCCAAAGGAAAGCTACCACCCCTCGTCCATGTCAAACTTGACAATGTACCAATAAAGGGGAAAAATTCCCTCATGGAAAAAATCAATGATACTATGGCAGAATACTGCTTCCCTAAGGAAATTGCTCCGTTAACCATCAAAGGCACCAACCTTATTACATCTAGATGGGAAATGCTTGTCGAAGCTATCCCAGGTAAAAATCTTGGCGAAACACTCCCACCCATCATCGAAATTGAGGACCAAAAGGTTCTCCTCTCATGGTCTGGCTCTCCTCCATCCTGCCTTCAGTGCCTCACTACAGGGCACCTGCGGAAGAACTGCCCGAAACAGGTAAAACAAACCCCGGCGACCAACCAACCCAATGCACTACCTAACCCCAATAACACATATGCAAATATTGTGGCACAGAAACCCCCTGCACAAACAACATCTAACAAAGGAAAAGGGGTCCTGTACAGTGGCCCCACAAACATGTATGACAAACCCAAACAAGGGAACCTAACGCCATCTCTCATTGCAGCCCAAATTGCCGAACGGCACAACACTGAGACGCTGACCACACCAACTAACGACAGAGAAGATCCCTTCCTGGAGATCTCAGAAACACAATCCCGAGTAGCAACAGCATACCAGACAGACGGAAACAACAAGAAAAGACACATTCATATCTCACCGAACACATCCCCAACTCCACAACGATCCCAATCAACAAACTTGTTTCAATCCCTCACAAACTTCAATATACTAGGTGACAACAGCCTTCCCAATCAACAGCCACCCCAATACTAACATATAACACTCCTTTTCAGATTGCCCTAACTAACTTATATTCATTCATTCATGAAAGTCATAACACTAAATGCACAAGGCCTCACAGACTTTTCAAAAGTCAAACAAATACTAACCAAACTTAAACCATTATCCCCTGACATCATTCTATTCCAGGAAATCTTCAACTATAACATCACCCCTGAGCGGCTTAAATTTAAAATCCAAACATGGTCCTCCATTTGGAAAGGTACTATTCATGCCACTCCTTTTGTCGCCACCCTGATAGCACCACACATCAACTCAACGCTCAGCTTCGAATCAAATGACCACCGCATTCTTGACATCATCATCACACCACCACATTCTCCTCAAATCAACATCCGCAATATATATGCCCCTGCTGACAACACCCAACAACGCCCTTTCTGGACTACTCTCCCACCCCTCCCACCTTCTCTTAACATAGTAGGAGGAGATTTTAATGCAACTCTCACAGCTGATGACCACATATCATCCACACAATGGAAACGTCCCCCCTTAGGCCCATACATCCTCCCACATCTCTCAAATCTCATTGACACAGGCAGTGTCTGCCCTAAACCAGCATTCACCTCCTACCACCAAAGAGAAAATAACTGGTCCAAATCCAGAATTGATTACATCTTCATCTCACCAACCATCTATCCCTCATTCACACTAACCACTCACAATATGGGTACAGACTCAGACCACCGGGCCCTCCTACTCTCAGACACCCGCCACAAACACAACAAATCACCAATATGGCATTTCAATGCCTCACTCCTTAAATCCAAAAAACACACACCAGCAATTGAACAAATCATCCTCTCACACCCTCCCCTCAAAACTCCGTATCAGTGGGATGACATTAAAGACTCAATTAAAACATACTGCCAGCAAGCAGGATGAACCACCAAAGCCAAACGAACAGAAAGCATCAAGAACCTCACAAACCGTCTGAACAAGCTGCAGAATGCAGCAAACCCAAATCCAGCCACCATAGCATCTGTATCAAACAAACTCAGAGAGCTGGAAAAAGCACACTCCGAAGCCATGGCTATCCGCTCAAAGATCAAATGGAGAGAAGAGGGAGAACAATCCACACAATACTTCATGCAACAATTCCACCAATATCACCGCAAAACCACCATTAACTCCCTCCAAACTCCCACACAATCAACCCCCAACATTCCTTCACCCATCCCATCCCCCTTCTACACATGTGCCCGCCACACACACCCCCCTCCTCACACTGACACCAACAACAACAACGTCACAACAAGCCTCTCCAATGATCCAGAGGAGATAATCTCCTTTGCTGCAAAACACTTTAAAAACCAATGGTCCATCTTCTCACCTCTCTACACCACCCCACTCACCAACTACATTCCCTCCTTAACACAGGAAGATACAGACACACTGGCGCTCCCGATCCATGCATCACACGTGCTAACAGCCATCAATGGAAAACAACCCCACTCCGCCCCAGGGCCTGATGGCTTCACATACGCTTTCTACCAACACTTTAGACTCATCCTTGCTCCAATCATGGCAACAGTCTTTAATCATGTCGCAATAGGGCTCACACCCCCTACAACCTGGAATGAAACACACACCATACTCATACCCAAGAAAAACCAAGACCATACCATAATTACCAACCTCCGACCAATAACCCTCTCTAACACAGACCTTAAAATCCTCTCAACAATCATAGCCAAAAGGCTACAAGACCTCAACCAACTAACACCATTCATTCACCCTGACCAAACTGGTTTTATGGCCAAAAGACAAATCACAAACACAATCCTAGACATCAACGCCCTCCTCCAACTCCCCAACCCTCCCCCTCACTCCTTCCTTCTCTCGCTAGACTGGTCCAAGGCCTATGACAGAGTCTCACATGCATGGCTGGATCATGTCCTAGTACATCACCAATTCAAACGTCCAACAATCAAACTCATTCAAACTGTCTATCATCATAGACAGACCTCAATATACATCAATGGTAAACTGAGCCCACCCTTCCCCATAAGACAAGGTGTCCCCCAAGGGGACCCCCTAGCTCCACTCCTTTTCAACATGTCTATTGAACCCCTTTTCAACGCACTCCGTACTAACATGCAAGGCATCACTGTTAACCTGAGAAACTTCACAGTCCGAGCATATGCTGATGACACATATGTTGGAGGCACTGGCCTACAAGACTGGTCCACCCTCCAACTATGGGTCGACAGACATCTCATAGCAGCCAATGGCAAAATGAACTGGAATAAATCCACCTTCTATCCTCTCTTCCTCTGCATGTAATGTAGATAGATAAAAACAGCCTAAACTGGCACTTTAGCGAGTGCCTTGTTGTGAATAAAAGTTCCTTGCAATAGGTAGTTAAACATCTATATACAGAAAAAGCTGCCTAGGTTGCACAAGAAGATCTATCTATATATGCTTTATTCAATACAAGACATCCTGGTACATAAGCAAACTTCCGACTTGTCATTGCTGCAAACAGCCAACAAGATTACAATTTCCGCATCTTGTGTCGATTCCTCAACAAATTAACGATGTACCTTACGGAAAAAGATATTTATCTCCTATCTCTTTGCATTCCGGTCTGGGAAGATCGACACATGTTAACGCATATACTGAATATAGTTATTAAAATTAAATCCGCTTCTTCTTAATGTCTATTGAACAAACCATTACTTCTTCATAACATCGATCGACCAAATGCATTGCCCAAATGTCTAACTACTTAGGATAAGCCTACCAGCCACACAATATCAAGCGTTCTCGACTGTGTTATGCCAACTATTTCAATGTCGTAGTCGCCCAACACGTTTCTTCATCAATCGACCAAATACACTGCCCAGAATGTATAAGCTTACCAGCCACAATTGCCCACAAACATTCTCGACCGTGTTATGCCAACTATTCCGATATCGTAGACACTGCAGCAGGTTTCTACCAAACTAGTTCTTTCCAAAATAAATGTCTCATCTGTTGTTCGAGGTAACAATTCACTTGCATATTGCATTTTATATTATCTTATTTTTACCAGTAACGCAGATGCATAGTTTCGAGTTTCGTTTAATTCTGACAACTGTCATGAATGACCTGACAGTACTTAGGGCATTGTTCTTTTCTCCATTATTTGTCAGATCTATCAGTGTGTCAATTAATAAACGAGCAGTCTACCTTTACTACTTGTTAGACTCAAGATTATGACATTATCAACATATTCAAATCGGTAAAAATATACTTAAGTTTATTATTGTTAATGACTGTTATGGGTCCGTTCTGAAATTCTGTTCTCTATTAAAATATTAATGTGTTACATAGATACAGTATGTGCGCTGTCACACAGACCCTGATGATCAACAAAATCGACATAATCAATGAAAGTATTATTCTTTTTTTAACTTTCGCAACGAAATGAATATTGTAGTTGATTTACCCTCACGCATTTTATCAGCCTATGAAAAGCTTTACGAAAGCGGCAAATATGCGGACCTTTCAATTCATGTTGGAAAGGAGCCAAATT